TAGTCGTCCGTCTTTTATCGAGAAGATTCTTTTATGCTTCATTTTGTGGGATATTTGGGAGTGGGTTGTACCTTGTTTCTCCCTTGATTGTCACTATTTCATTTGCCAAGGTTCATACGCCTTTGATGACCACTTCAACTTCCTTCTCCTTTTGTCAAATAGCCTCGAGGTCAATTGAAAGCATTTTTTAAACAAAAAGAATAACTATAATTTATTTAAACTTGTTCTAAAGCTTATTACGCCGTCTGAACGTTTGGTTAAGTCGACGATTGGTACCTCTCTTGAGTTTTTTATTGCATAAACCGTGAATGCGGTCTTATTACTGGGATTTTGCATATCCCGCCTTCAACCATGCGTGCTACGTATGCTATACATGAAGTTAGATCCTTCTAAACATCATCCTCTTATGAACATTTTTGAATTGTTTATTGTTAATCGTGATGTCGAAATGGGAGGCAAGTTCTCTGTGACACTAGCCCACCTATGTTCAGCTCAAGTCGCTGACCAACCTCTTGACGCGCTCTGAACTCGCACTGCGTGTGGTTGCGCTTTCTAATGTGTTGACGTCTCAAGGACGTCGCTAGGTCCAAGTCCTGGAAGCCAGGGACATGCATTAACATGCATCGTGACAATGTGGTGGTCAATTACCTGCGGCCTTATCTCCCTTACAGGAATGCCGATATTCTCTTCTCCATCGCAAGCCATTGGTCACCTGGGGCGGACAAAGTCACAACCCTACTCTTTGGTCTGTACGATCAACTCACCGTGGCTAGACGAGATCTCGCTCTCTTCCAGCACCACGACGCCATTACAGGCACTTCAAAGTCCCACGTTATGGCAGACTATCGTGACAAGTGAGTTCCACCTCTCATGTTGGACCACTCTACGCCCACACTTTGTCCCTCCATCTACTTATCTGCCCTGTTCAGTTTTTGCAACTTTGTTGACTAATCGATCTTTCGGATGTACACTTACTCGATCAAATTGGCATTCTTAAAATAAACTTTGAATCCTGTCCTAGGCTGAACGAAGCCATTCGGTGTGCGCAGAACGTATCTGCGACCAGTGCTGCTTTCCTTCTCGGCTACGAGTTTCCTGAAGTCTGCTCCGCCCTTGAACATGAGGTCTCTACTCGCACCTCTCCAGTTCTCATTTCGGCTAATCCGAGTTGGGGTGGTAGCTCCGTACCAGAATTTTTCCCGATCACTCTGGAGAGTCTGGAGGCTGTCAAAACGCTCTACCTCTTC